GGAAGAGGCACTAGAGTAAGAACATGAAAGGTAGGTGTGTACCTGCCTCTGAGGTTCAGTAGCTTGAGACAAACCATTTAGCCTTTGCCCTCTCCAGGTGCCTGGTTCCTCATTTGAAGTGGGGACATTGGACTAAATATAACCAGAGGAACCTCCTTGTTCTAATACCTGTGAACCTAGGAATGACAGCATTGCAGAGTCCATGTGGTTGCATAATTATGAACCCAGCTGAGGGATGATAATAAGAAGTTCTTGTAAAACCACCCCTGTTTTTTTCTTTAACCAGGTATTGAACCTATCCCTTAATTACTGAGCCACATCCCCCAGTCTTTTATAAAATATTTTATTTAGACACAGGTTCCTGCTAAGTTTCTTAGGGCCTTGATAATTCGCTGAGGCTGGCTTTGAACTTGCAATACTCCTGCCTCCGCCTCCTAAACTGCTGGGATTATAGGCATGCTCTGACTTTGTGAGATGTGGCTTCATCAGATGTGACAACATTATTGACTATCAGGTAAAAGATACCATCTTTTCTCGCATCTGTCTCCAAGTGGGAGTTGAGCTTGTCTTGCTTGTAATTCTTTGCTGGGCCATAAAGGATTTCCCTCTGGGGCTTCCCTTCTTTCAGTTGATACCAATTCACAATGCCCTTTTGGAGAGGGACCTCAAAGAGCTTGGTGTAAAGGATTATGGTAGCCCCACTCCTATCCTGTACTTTACATGGGAACCACCATTGCTGAGCACCTGAGATTCATGATCTGGAGAACCAAACACAGTCTGGCTGTGTCCATATACTAGGTGGCCCCCATACAGACATCCTCCCCCAACCCTTTGTCAGTAGCTCCAAGACTCCCAATACCTAAAAATGACCAGGATGTTGTTCTGAATCAAGGGGGATGAGCAGATGGGACAGAAGGCATGGGATTCCCAAAACAAAAATATTTACTATATGGCTGTTGAAGGAAAAAAATTGTCAATTCCTTTATTAGAAATATTAAAAGATTGAAAATATTATATTTTATCTGCACTTGATTTTATATCTAATGCTTCTTCTTTTTGTAGGTCCAAGTTTTTGAACCATATAATTGTTTTGCCTCACCAACATTCTCCTTAATAGTTCTATAGAGTCAGTCTTCTTGCAACAGATTCCCTCTATATTTGTTTTTGTCTGAGCATTTCTATGTAATACCTTTTTCTTTCAATACTTTGCACTGAATTTACTATGAATTTTATTTATGAATGTAAACATTCAAATAAGTGGAAAGTTAAATATACTGTTTTTTAATTAATTTGGAATTTGCCATGTGTATCAGCTTCAGAGATGACAAACATCAATACATTTTTCTATCAAGAAATTTAAGATGACATTAGACAAATTGAAGAGTTTGAATAATCTGAATGAGGTGAGTTACTAGTTGTCCTGGACTGTGAAGTCTATCCCTTGAACCTCCTGGCATTTAACCCCTGTTCCTCAACTGCAAAGTAGGTTGCTGTAACCTGTGAATGTGGTGAAATGAGATTCTGGCTCAGTTGCTCTGAGGGAGAATTAAATTTCTGCATGTTTAAGAAGTTATTAGGGCAAACAGCTGCTGCTGGTTCTCAAACAACACTTTGAGTATTAGTCTAAATAATTTCATTTTTCTAATATGCAATAATAACCCACATAACCAATAAAATACCTCAATTATTAAAAATTAGGCCCCATCCAATTTTGTTAGAATGTTATGTGTATTATTGAGTCAGTAAATTTCAAGAGTTCTTGCTGGTTAATATGATTGCATTATCATTTTTTAGTAAAGAAATTGAATCAAAGGTATGTGAAATAATTTATCCAAACTCTCTTAGTTAACTTTGGGAGGTTGGATGTTCATCAAAGGGTCAGATAAACATTAAAAAACATGGAAAAATCAAGTAATTATCATTTATTAATGGACCCTAGGACACAGATTAAAAAAATGCTTTCTGGGGCTGGGGTTGTGACTCAGTGGTAGAGTGTTTGCCTAACATGTTTCAATCCTCAGCACGGCATAAAAATATGTAAATGAATAAAATAAAAGTTGCAAAAAAAGCATTTAAAAATACTTTCTCAAAAATAAATAAATAAATATTATAGGCTCCAAGCGTCTGTTGCAACCACCCACCCATGGCACTCTAGTACAAAAGCACCCATAGGCAATATGGCAAATGGGAAAGGCTGTGTTTCAATGAATCTTTATATACAAAACTGGGGTTGTTAGTAAGGGGCATAGTTTGCTAAACCTCTACTCAATGATAACTACTATTACCATAAAAGGTTTATGTAGTTTTTTTTTTCTTAGATTTACAGAGTAGGACCTTGATTATTTTGAAAATATAGGAAATTTAAGTGTGCATATATGCACTGGTATATAGTTTATGTAAATGATTTGTTATAAATTCATAAATTGATAAAATATTCAGTCTATTATGTAGACACATTTAAAAGAAACAGAAGCTTTTCATTGAAATGTGTAAAATCTGTGAAATAAAAAAAAAGAAATTAAAATCATCCATCCTTGCAATATATGTTGGCACTCTTATCTGTTGCCCTGGAAATTGCTCTGGTTGCTTCAACTGCCCTAGACCAACTTCAAGCAAAGAAGAGATATTCCCATGAACAAATAATATTTGAAGAAGGTCCAAAAAAGAATGACTTCATTCTCTCCTGGAGAGTAAAGTGATGGGGGCCGGTAACTCACAGCCTAGAGTGGATACAGGACGACTGCTTTCAGGAGTGGCATCCATCTGCCAGGTTGGCTGCCCAGGGAGAAGGTGAGAAAGGGAGGGTCCTGAGAGTTGAGATCTCAGGTTAGTGCTGGAGGGTGTGGCTGTTCTGGTGTCTCAGAGAAGAGGAGGGTTGGGTGATTTTGTGAGTTGTCCATGATTTTCTCAGTTATGAGCAGTGCTGGGGTTTCCTGCACCACATGAGCTGAGCAGATCAGGTAAGTGTGTTAACTGTCTGCATATTAAAGACATCCCTGGTATTCATGTCTTCATCTGGGTTTTGGGGAAAAATGATTCTATTACCCACATACCCTTTCCTTCTGCAATTTCACACTAGAAATATTGCAGTATATACACTATAATATATATTTATATACTATAAATATATAATAGTATAGTGGGATAAGTATCAATATCCTCAGTTTAGAAATGTTGAAAGCTGTTATTTGAAGTAACTTGTCAGATACTGTACACCTAGTGGGAATGAATATTGGGAGATAAATCCAGGCATTTCTATCGAAGTACCTTGGCTTTATTAAGACACTTTGCAGGAATAGAACCACACTTGTGCTGCTTGCTTTAGAGCAAGGACAAGCACTGAAAAGCAGTCCCTGCCAAAAATGCATACTCTATCTGAGCTGTGTGGGAGCATGCCACTCAGTGGTAATGTGGGAGATTTTCAGTGCCCTGAAATAACAAAGAGTTGTTTTGGTATCGGGCAAGTTATTTTGCCTCCTTTTCCCACTCTGTGAAAAGGATGCCAGGTAATTGCTTCGTGTGTCAGTGTAATCCTGTAAGCAAAGTATTTAGTATAGTCATAGATACATCGAAAGCTCTCAAGAAATGTGCATTATGATTGTTTAACCTCAAAATTGGACAGGTGTAGTAGGTAATCTCTTCATGCAGCGGAAATTGCAGGTTATGACATGGTCCTAGAGAATCAGGTGGTGTATGTGTGTTCCCAAAAGAAAAGGCCTGAATTGGCCCAGGGCATAGGTTGAATCTAAAGGCAAGACCAGTTCTGTGACTTCAGAATTTTTTCTGAAGACACAGAACTGGTCTTGCCTTTAGGTTCAAGACAGGGTGTTGGGAAAAATAAGTCAAGGAACACGTGCAATCATGCTTGGAGAGACAAACCCAGCCCTGACTCCAGGCAAAACGCAGGTTCAAGATTGCTAATTGCTCCCAGGATCTTGTAGTAGTCAGGCCTATGGCCACAAGGAGATGGCAGTTGATATGGAAGGAGGAGGCCTGGCTCTGAAAGGAAGCTATGGGTTCTTGGGCTCTCAGACCAGACCCAGTCCCTGAGCTCCTAATCTGGGGGAGCTCCTAATCTGAGAGAGCCAGGCTTGTGCACTGCAACTGAGGTTCACTTTCCCATGTCTCTAGAGGCAGTCTTTGGAATTTTCTGATTTTGTGACTGGGTGGTCAAATATAAAGCTAATGGAATTTTTTAATAAAAGAATATTATGGCACTATCATTTACACCTCCCATAGACATAAGGCTGAAATGTGGTGTTAGATATTAACAGCTGTGCCAACATTGGCAGAGCAAAATGATCAGTAGAAAGAGATGTAATGTAGATGTTGAGCAATGGGGTGGTGAGAAAATAGCAGGTTTTATTTTTTCTGTTTTTTTTTTTCTATTTTTTCACAATTTTTCAGATTTCCAAGTATAAGAAAATATTTCTTTGGGGGATAAAAATTTATTGCAACCAAAAGTGTTATAAAAATAGGTTTTAGATTTTGTTGTCAGTATTCACAACTATTTCTCTCAATTGTTTCTATCATCCTTATTAAGTACTTTATATATTCTGCACCAAACCTGCAGCCACACACACTCTTCTGGAACATTTTTTTTTCCTTTCCTCCACTAGTCTTTCTGGTATAATACTCTCCTCCAGATGGTGTAGGGTATATTCATGTAAGTTAAACACACAAATCAAAAGTACTGGGGGGGGGTGCTGGGGTTGTAGCTCAGCAGTAGAGCCCTCATCTAGCACACGTGAGGCCCTAGATTTAATCCTCAACACCACATAAAAATAAATTAAAAAATAAAGGCATTGTATCCAACCACAACTATATATATATATAAAATATTTGGGAACCATTCTTGGGCAGCATGCAGTCCAGGAGGAGCCAAAGTGGGCCTTCTTACTATCTTACTTTGTGTTGTCTACAGATAGAAAAATTTTTGTTCTCTTTAAATACTGAATAACTTTCTGGAGATTCTTCTGTGTTTGTGTGTGTGTGTACACGCTTGGCCAAGGATGAGAGATAGCAGTAAGGGAGTTTGGTCGTAGGGTGCAAATGGAGGCAGGAAATAACTCTTAGAGGAGAGTGGGATAATACAGAGTGGTTGTTAGGTTTGGGCTCATGGTTTCCCTTTGTTCAGAGTACAGTGAGGTCAGGGGCAGGAAATGGGATGAGGGCTGATCCCTATCTATGTACCAGGAGCAGACAAAGCAACATTTTGAGTACAGATAAAGGCAGGTCTGAACCACTGTGCCAGTCCAGTAGGCACAGTAATACACAGCAGAGTCACTTTCCTCCACATTTCGTACTTCTAATTTACATTTCCCATCTGGGCCTTTATAAGCATCATATTTCCCTGAAATGATTCCTGAGTCCACCACAACCTTGCAATTTAAAAAATTATAGTAGAGAAGGTATCTTGGGACCTTGCCTTCCTTGAATTGGTACCAGTTGATGAATTTATTTGTTTCACGTAAATCACAAGTGATTGGCACATGTGATCCAGGTGAATTTGTGACTAACATCATTCTTCTCTCCAAACTGGAAGATGTGTGACTTCCTGGAATGGTAACAATAATAAAAATTAATGGCAAAGAGGTAATGGAATTTTTTGTATGGCCTCTTTACGGGAAAACAACATTCCATGGGCATCTGTGCCACATACTCACCAGGAGGCAGGATGGCTAGAAGTAGGGCCAGAACCCACAGCATGCCTTCTTTCCTGGGGCTTACAAGGAAAAGGACCAGATGATAAGAGGAGAAGAAAGGCCTTCCAACAAATCCTGCTCAAAATTGTAGTGATATCTCCAAAAGTGACTTACAGCTTATCCTCCTGAATGAGTCACAGGCAAGGAGAAGTAATAGAGGAGCTTCCTGAGAAGACAACCCAACTGTTTACCAGAAGGGGTTGGGCTGAGAGGAGCCCCTGCCTCTCTCCTTCTGTCCCCTTCTCTAGCACCACCCTGTGGCCACCAAGTGCAGGTCCTCTGCAGAAGAGGAGAAGCCAGGAAACTGGAAAACTCAGAAGTGAAGCAGATTGAGTACATACATGGTGGGGAGGCAGAGCCCAAGATGAAAATGTCTTCTTATACAAAAAGGTCTGCCTAAAGTTTAGAGTTTTGAGGTTGCTGCTGCTGCCATTATCTTGTCCTGATTAAAAAAACTTCTTTATTATGGCCTGAACCACCTTCACTTACATCAGTAAGTTAACTTTGGGGCAAACATCAACTGAAAATCTGATAAGATTGATCCTACCTTATTAAAAGACTCTGGGGATGTTGACTGCACATGACACTACTCAAACACAACTGGATGTGTGGAAGGTGGGAGTCAGTACAGGGAAATGAAGCTACCATAGAAGCAGAGGTCTTAGGTCACATGCAGGATGACTTTGCAGGTCCCAGCATGCTCCATTGTCTAACAGTTCATATCATGATCCTTCCTCTGTTCAGGGAGACTGAGTCTTACCTGTCAATTAATAATTGAAGGAAAGTCACATGCTGGATCCTAATGGAAATAATGCTTGGTATGTCGAAATAACACAACTTTAGTAAGGAAAATGCTTATGTCTCAGGAGGGGAGTTGAATCCACATCAAATCTACAGATGAGCCAGATGTCAGGTTACTAATTTTGCCTAAGAAGGAGCATGACACAGACTCAGACACGCAGGGAGAAACCTGTAGAATGGAGCTCAACCTCATAGAAAGAATGACAGTGATTGGGCTGGGGATGTGGCTCAAGCGGTAGCACGCTCGCCTGGCATGCGTGTGACCCGGGTTCGATCCTCAGCACCACATACACACAAAGATGTTATGTCCACCGAAAACTAAAAAATAAATATTAAAAAATTCTCAAAAAAAATTATATAAAAAAAAAGAATGACAGTGAGTATAGAAAAAGTACAATGAGTATATGATTAGAATGTGCCATGAAGGCAGACTGGGAAAGTCTATACTACCCCTGGGACTGGACAGATTGAGTCCAGGGCTTGAGCACCCATTCTGCAGCATGGATGGGCAGGAGAAGGGTGAGACATTTATATTTTATGCTAACATTAGTCTGCTTTCTTCTTCTTGCTGACTCCAGTGACTGATTTATGTGATGTGAATGTCATATGTAAAGCATCACTTAGGCTGAATCTGAAGTCATTTTTCTCTGAAGAGAGACTACTCTGATTCTATGGATGTCTTTCTGCTCCTAAAGCACATTGCTGTTGTCCACATTTAGGCAGACCTGTGCTAATGGCTTCAAGGACATGGGTTTTCCTCACACGTGTAAACTAAGAAAATTAACCTGAAGGTACCAGAATCCTTAAATTAAATACCTGAGAAAAACCAGACATTTGTTATTATCTTGGAGCTTCATGTGTCCTTTGCTCTTTCCATCAGAACAGTGTCATGAGCGGCAGGATGTAGCTCAGGGATACCTAGCACAGATAGTATGCTCAAGTCCTGTCTGGAACCCAGCACCACAAAAGCAAAAGCAAAAAAACAAAGAAAAAATCAGAACAGTATCAGAGGAGTGGTGTGGTATCTGAATAACCCTGAGCATCAGATTCCCAACCCCCTCCCACAAAGGATAACAAACTTTTCATATCCAACCCAGAGAACCCAGCATACCACAGCAGGGAGTGCAGGTCCCATCCATGCCTTACCAGTATAAAGGTGGATGTTTCCTTCCACTAGCTGTGGCTTTTTGAAAGTGAGCAAAGTTAGTTGTGGTTTAACTGCCCTCACCTTCTGTTCTAACACCCCAGCCACCCCTGAACTGCCCTAACCAGTAGGGGCCGGTTTGACTCTGAGCCTTTTCCAAGAATCAACCACATTTGACAGAGCACAAAAACAAAAGAAGTCTGAGAAAATAAAATACCATAAGCCACAATAGTCCCCCCTGCAACTCTGTGTCCCCCATAACCACAGCTCTCCCTCTCTGCACTGTTCACGTTCAATGCTGCCCAAGTGCACTGGGGGAGGGGAGGGGCTCAGGGTTGAAACCATAGGAGGGGATGCCTAGTTCCCAGCCAGGGATGTCAGCCCCACCAAACTCTCAGTGATCTCAAAGATTCTTGCCTTCATTTCTTCTATCCCAGGGCAGGGAGGGTTCCATATCTTTAAACAGAGGGACAGAATGTGGCCAAAAGAGGTGGGTTCAGTGCAGGAGCATCACGGAGTAGATCTAAAGTAAATATAATATTTTTTGAGTCTGACTGATCTTATTTTGTTTCCAAATGGGAATCTCTGCTTGTTTTTCAAATAATGCATCTCACAGAAAGTGAAGCTGATTGTAGATGAGCAAAACATTTCCAATAATAAATATAAAGTTGTTTTAATTCAAATTTATAGAAGTTTCTGACTTTCAAATGATTCATCAAAGAAAATAGAAAATATGCATTAATTTTTCACCCAACTTCCATACATTAAATACTACATTTTGTATCATGTCTTATAGAAATGCAGAGAGACTCAGCAAACTAGAGTCATAAGTCTTACTATTATTATTAACAGCAAACAATTGTCAAAGGACCAGAGCAAATGTTGCAAAGAGATATAAATAGATCTTAAACATATAAAAAAGATGTTAATCTTCACTCATAACAAGAACGAGAAAAGCAATTAAAACTACAAGATCCTAGTTTTCACCTGTCAGATTAGCAAAATCCTGATGTTTTGCAGCACACTCATAAATTCATATGGATGGGGATAGGAGAGCCATGTGGGGCTCTCCATGGAGGGCAGGTTGGCATTTCCTATCAAAATTACCAGTGTACATATGTGCAGATGGACATAAATGTTTATTTACTATGAGAATATATTGAAACAACCAAGAGACTATCAGAGGGAACAGATGAGATTTAATATTTTAAGGCAAATACCTGTGGCTCTCTAAACATCCCTATGCACTGATCTCAAAAGAGATTTCAGATTTATAAATAAAAAGGAGTACAGAATAATGTACGTTGTATACTAACTTTATGTAAGAAGGTGAAACACGAATATATATGCATTCACATACATACATGTATATATATATATATGAAAGGACCTGGGAAGTCAAAGCATTATCTATATGCAGAGAGAGCATCTAAGGCTCAAAGCCCACTTCCCAAAAGAAGCAGTTGCAAATGTACACTTAAAAGGGAAGCAGAAATTCTATTCCATCTATAACAAAGGGAGAAATTATGTTAATTTCAGAGTAGGTCACAGTTTTATTCAAATAAGAAGACAATTTAGAAATTAGTGACAAAACAGTTGCATGATATACATAAGAAGAGAAAACACAAATATACTCAAACCCTTAAGGAAGTCCTCTCACTTATTGGAGGATGCCTTTAGTAAGGGATCCTCCAATGAGTGAGATCCTCCAAAGAAGGGATGCATGCATTTGGTATTGTATTGTTTTGTTATATTAAAAATGGGTGACAAAAAAATGGGAGAGAGAAATATATGATATTGTGTCAATTACATATGTGTACATACACAGACTCTGGGTCTCTCTGGCTTTAAATTATGAGCATCACCTCAAAAATAGTGATCATAAGGGAAAATTTATATTTTCCAATCTATAAACTATACACCATAATTGTTCCTACCTTAAAGGGCTCATAGAAGGTTCATGGAATGCCTGGTTCCTGGTAAAAGCTATGTCCCTGCTTCATTTCACTCATCTTCTCTGTAGATAAGTAAGAACAGTGATCTGTATGTGAGTGTGGTCCCCACTATTTCTAAAGTAGAGTTGTGCTGTCATGCTGCTTCTCACTTTGGACATTCAATTCAGTTTCATTAATTTAAAGTACACATGATTCCAAATAAATCGCTGATATTCATTGTATCTATTATGAAAAAGAAGCAAAGAAGCCAAGTTGCAAAAAAGGCTGCTTTTGAGTGTATAAAATGGAAGGCTTTTAGTAGTTTCAGGATACAAAACCCTAAGTGCTGTGACAAGCACAACCAAATTTGTGATACTGGCCTGGGGCAATGGGTGATTAGAAAAATGACACACACACAGATATGAAGATAAATGGGTTTAGATGGAGAGCTGCTCTCTGATGAAGAAGCAGTGTCTGAAGAGTTATGCCAGCAATCTTTAATTATATATGTCACATTATCCAGTTAAAGACTATGCAAGCATTATTTTTTATGCTCAAGAAAGTTACAGGATTACAAACATCTATGTAGCTTTTCAAAAGTTGCAATGTGAAATGTTAGGAGCTTTGTGTAGCACTCAAGTAGGGCCATGGTTTAAAGTTGCTGTTAAGGGGGAAGGCTTAGGTGTAGCAGAGATAGTGAAACATCGTGGTTGTCTTCCATGAGAATTCCTCTATCCCTGGGATCCTCTATGCCTGAGATCAAGGTCAAATCTGATAAGACTATTACACAGAGTCTCTTTGGGAGGGGCATTACCATAGTAGCTAGACATCCTGTGCTCTTGCAAAGAAACATTCTCAGGCAGTAGCATGGCACAACAAGGAAGTCATCAGAGACCCCCAATCTCAGTCACTGCTCTTCCATTCTCTGTCATCACTGTACACACCTAAACACTGTGACTAGAAACTGCATGCTGTCCCCACCAAGGCTTTGATGATTTGGGCTGGCTGGAATGCCTAATGGAGACTTTGGGTACACTGAGGTTACAGGCCACCATGGGCTTCTTATTAGAATGTGAAATTTGCTCACTGGTTTGAAAAACCTTTATGCAACAATGACAGAATAATACTTGTGAAAATTGAAGAAGCCTGAACCCAGTGACAAGTCCAACCAGGTCCTAAGCAAACACTTTTCAGGACAATAAGCTATGAAGATAAGATGACTGTGTTGTGCCATCATCTGTTAGGAGCTCTTCCCATTGCCACCAGCAGCTGTTCTTCTAAGCAGACAGAAGGTGATGATGGCCAAGTAGACCACACTCTTGAGCAGCAGGAGGAGGTAGGTCCAGTAGGCAGAGGTGTATGTGAACTGCAACCTCAGAGCATCTAAGAGAAGTCAGACAATTAGTTTCACCCGTATTTGACAGGAAAGGTCCCCTTGTGGGGGAGGGTGCCACAGATGTTTATTTTTGGTGACCTACACTGAAGTGACACCACCCCCACCAAACCCCAAAGGTCAACATCTACCACTCACACCCAAACCACCCAGTGCAAGGCTCAGCTTGCAATTCAAGTCCATTAACAACCTCTGCAGAATTCACTTGAGGAGCTTCCTAATATTAAAAGTAGGGGTTAGAGTTGTGGCTCAGTGGTAGAGTGCTTGCCTAGCATGTGTGAGGCACTGGATTTGATTCTCAGCACCACATATAAACAAATAAATGAAATGATGGTCAATCAACAACTAAAAAAATATTTAAACAAAAAAAGTAGGGCTGTGTTCTTTGAATCCAGTGAAAGACAAAAGTATGTGTAAAACTAGATTTTTGGATTTTCTTCACCCTCAATATGTCTTTATAGATAATATTCACTAACCACTAACACAATGCCAAACAGTATGCTGGGAAATTTGCATTAAAAGCTTTAGTGTTGGGCTGGAGATGTGGCTCAAGTGGTAACGCGCTCGCCTGGCATGTGCGGGGCACTGGGTTCAATCCTTAGCACCACATAAAAATAAAATAAAGATGTTGTGTCCACCAAAAACTAAAAAATAAATATTAAAAAATCTCTCTAAAAAAAAAAGCTTTAGTGCTGTTTAATATTTATTAAGGTTCCATGATGGCAAGAGACAGTTTATTTTTATTCTCATTTTGCAGACAAAGTGAAGACACAGAAAGGAGGAATTTGGTTGATGCATGTATTTGTTAAGTGTCAGGCCCAGGTCATGACCACAGCAATATGATTTTATAGAATACACTGTCATCTACCCTGTGATTCTGCATATGAAAGTACAGTCAACATCCAACAGGTTAAGTTTAAATACCAGTAGACTTATTTATTTGGAAGCCTCTGGGCTTTACATGTTGTGAATACAATGGATATGTAGGAACTGTACAACCCAAGAAAATTTAGTGGTCTTCCACATGGATTGTGTAAGATTTTTTTTAAAGCACTAGAGAAAATGGAAGAAAGTGGTTAATCCAAATTCCCAGGAATGTATGGTACCTGTACATTCACAAGTGTTTTCCACATATCTCTTATTTTAACTGTGATATTTTGGGATAATTGCCATCAATGTCCTTCAAAGTTTGGAAAGAAATATGTTATCTCAATTATTATTTTAATACAATGGTAGTGAGTCACCAAACCAAGACCATTATTGGTATAATTTCAATTTTTACAGGTTCTACGTTCATACAATCAGAACTAAATAAAACTCGCCATTGGTCAGAAACGGGCCCTCCAGAAATGTGCAAATGATACCCTGTTCTAAACTAGATGAGCAGTTCCAGCTTCTCCTTGCCTGGGGTGGCAGCTGAGGTTCAGAGACCCAGGGGAATAAGAAACAGGAGAACAATAACCAGGGATTTTTGCACATGTGTAGGGAAAAAGAACCAGAACCTGCTAAAAAGAACCTATTCTAGACATTTCACACCTGGACTTGTGCCACTCCAATAGTTCTGAGTTTAATATAATTATTGTGAATTGGCAAATTAACAAAGAACTACTTGCAGAATGGAAATCACTCACCCATATTTATGTAACTGGTTATTTAGAGATTGGTGGTATTCTGAACCCATATTCTTACCCTCACTACCATATGGCCATAGGGTCTCAGAGCCTTGGCCTAGCAATTCCTTGCTTTAGGTCTCCTTTTAGAGGAAGAATGTGGAACAGAGCAAGGGTATGAACTCTATCATCTGAGCTGCATTGAAACATCTGGTATAGACATGTAGAATGGGCAAAAAACTTCATTAATTTAAGCTCATTGCCCACCTCTGGAAAATGTGAGAAAACTAGCTGAATCACATCATAGAGGTTTTCTGAGGATTAAGAACAAAAGTGCATGCAGACCCCCATCTCTAGTCTTCTGTATAAAATTACTCTGTGACAGTTCATGTTATTAGCAGCTAGCAAAATACTAAAAATAAACAAACAAATCTGGAAGTAAGTTGATATCATGCTTGCTCCTTTCACTACAGGGAAAAACGGAGGTATGGAGTTAGAAATGATAATGAAATGTGATGAACAATATTATTCAAAGTACATGTATAAAGTCATGAATTGATGTAAATATACTTTGTATAAAACCAGAGATATGAAAGATTGTGGTCTATTTGTGTAATAAGAATTCTAATGCATCCTGCTATTACATATAAATTTAAAAATTAATTAAAAATGAAAAATAAAGAAATGATGGATTAATTTAAAATTGGACTCAGTCTATTCTGCAACTTTCAGCCATTCTAAATTTTCTACCTTAAGAAAGGAGCTCAAAAATAAAGACGATCATGAGCAGAAAAAGCTGTAGCCTAACATAAGTCAAAGTACACTAAAACCATTTTCCTCTTTCAAAGAAGTAGCATAATGAGTTAAAAAAAATGAGAACAAATACTAAACAATTATCCATCACCATGTTTTACTCTCTTTGTGCGATTTATGTTTGTGTGTAATATCCACTGACAGAGATACATGAGAATTAATCTATATTAATAAAAGGTCGTACCTTATTAGTGATCATTGCTGTGTCAGACACTAGGTTAAATGCCTTGTGTGCATTATTTCATTTAAATACCAAAAAATATTTAAGCCATTAAGATCAAGTTCTCAATTCTGACAATATTTCAATATAATCAACATGGATGCATTTAAATTGGTCAGAAATCATTATTAAAATTAACCATTACTTCTCTCAAAAGAATGGACCTTTAAAAATACAATTATTTCATAGTTACCATAAGTGGTACACTTATTAATCAATGGAAATTTTGTAGGTGTTCTGCTTCTGAGAACAATAGGACAAGTGATTTAAGTAAACTGAATACTTAAATTATGAATAAAAATTTAAGTATAAAGAATATAATAGACAATCTTCTTGTATTTTAAATATTCTAAGCACATGAGCTATTTGTTTTTTTTTTTAACCAGCCAACTTTAGCAGAGGGAATATTTTTCTTCAGTTATTTCTTATGTTACAAGGTAGGAAAAGTCACATCTCGATTTCTTTGAATAAAACTCGAGACAAGAGTTGCTTTTACCCACTATGACTTTTGGGAGTCATTAATTAATGATGTGTTAATTAAAATGTCAGACTATTTTGCAAAAGCCAGCTATTCTGGCTTTTCCTTAACTAGGGAATTCAAAAGTTAAGATGATTAGGAGGGGAAAACGCTACAGCATGAGATAAAGGTAAACATACACTAAAACCTACCATTTTCAACTTCCAGATCAGCTTCTCTGGGATTAATAGTGGTGACAGCTAGAAGAAAAGAGAGCAAGTACTAGTCAATAATTCCTCTATTATTTAAAAGTGTATGAGTATGTGTATACACACAGTTACTCTGCATATAAATAAATAAATACGTACGTGTCTGTCAAGAATAGAGAGACAATCATTTAAAATGAGATCCCCATAATTCCAAAGGTAATTAGGTTCACTGTATGCAATTCAGTAGGTATCATTCTTATACTACGTTTTTGCATACAAGAATGTTGATCTTCCTGGCAGATAACTTTTTCCTTTTTATCACAACTGGAGTGTATCATATCCAAGATTGTCTGGTTTTCTGGTATATTCACAGCTCCTCACCCAGTGTGTGCTCCAAAGTAGGTGATACTCAAATGCACATTCAATGGAAAAATAAACAGAAAATTGGCTGCTTTATAGGATCCAGCACACATGGCTGATATGAAGTGCTAAACTCTAAAATAATCCATCCACTCCCAGAATCAACAGGTAAAGGAAAGAGTCTGATTTAAAGAAATTTTTCATGTAAATACTAGAAGCAGTTGAACCTTTCTACATCATGCATTTCTCCATTATTCTTGATTGGTGCACATGATTTTCTGGAAGTGTGGTGTTTGTGGACATGAGAGAACAACATTCATGAAATTGGTTCCTACTCATTGATCACAAGTTAATGCCTCACAAGCATTATCTTGTTTTAAGTCCTCATTCACAATTAAGTGAGTTGAATTATGAAAGTTCCAATAACATGAATGAGAAAATAAAAGGTAAAGAGTACATTTATCTTTCCAAGATTCCTACCAGTGTGTGGCAGGGCCAGAATTCAAAGGATTTTGAGGGAAACTAAAAGAGGGAATGTGGAAATTACTTTGTAAAAATAATACATATGATTGTGAGAGAGTTATTAGTAGAAATAACATAATCTCTAAATATGTTTAGTATGATTAGAAAATGCACCTATTTTAAATGACAGATACTGAGAGCATTTCAGTACAATTCTTTCTGGGGAGAGAAAAATAGGCAAGTCATATTTCTAAGAGACTGAGTTTGAGAATTTTATTTACCTATGATTAAAAAACAAAACTGAGTAATTTGATGTCATACTTTACCCAATCATACAAACAAATAAATGAATGGGTTCCCTTTGTTGAAATACTTCAGAGAATATCATTGTATCCTCTAATTTACCAATCTCATAACAAGATAGGTAGTTTACTGTATTAGGTTGATGTGAGGAAATGAGGTATACCTTAAAATGCCACTTACTGTATTGTGGAACAACTAGACATTCTGATTTTTCTACCTTAGATGAAGGAATTTCAAAAGTTAAGATAATTAATAGTGGAAAAATGATATGGCATGAGATGAATGCAAACACACTCTGAAACTTACCATTTTCATTTTTCAAGTTGGCTTCTGTGGGTTTCATTGTGGGCACAACTAAAAGCAATGAGAGCAAATAGCAGTCAATTATTTACCCTTATTATTTGATACTTAATGTATTCAATTTGTCCACAGAGACAGGAGTGATACACATTAAAAATGGGAGCTCCACCTTTTCAAAAATACGTGGTTTCTAATTCATTTAATAGTACTCATACATAATGGTTCTGCACATGAAGATGATGAAGTTTCTGGAATTTATATGTGTCTACGTTTGTGTGTATAGATATGTATACACATATATATGCGTATACACACATGTATATTTTTTAATCAAAACTAGTTCGTTGTTTTCAAAAAGTGAGCTTCACCAATGTTACAGTCTTTTTCCTTTTATCGCAATCTGAATGCACATCCATGACTATGTGTTTCTCCTCTGTATTCACAGATTCTTGCCCAGGAAATTACTCAAAGCAAGTGATCCACAAATACAAGTTCAATGGAATAAGAAGCAGAATATTGGTTGTTTTACAGGATCCAGCAGACACTGCTCACATGAAATGTTGAGCTCAAAAGAAATCCATCCAATCTATGTTGACAACAGAATTATACACATTCAAAGGAGTCTGATTTGAAGAAATTTCTAATCTGAACAGAAGACAGCAGATATACCTTCCAAATCATGTCTATCCCTAATGTCCCTGGTTCATGTGTATCATTTTCTAGAGATGTGATGTTTGTGGGCATGAAGAAATCAATACTGACACAATCTAATACCTGTTAAATGATCACGGCTGTACCAAGCTCTTGGGTTAAATGTTTCATGTACATGAGCAAAGTAGATTTTAAAAATAATTCATACAAATATAAACAAAATATTTAGTGAACAAATCATTCCACCATTGTGGACCAAAGTAAAATCTTCTCCTATAGCATCTTAATTATTCTTAGCCAAAGAACTTTTCCTGTTTTAGGAACTCAGCATTTCCATGAAATTCTTTCAGGGTATAGGAAGGTAGGCCAAGTCACTTTTCTACCTCTCTGCCTAAACTCAGAGATGATACACAGAAACACACAGACACACACACATACACACACACACACACACACACATATATATGTATATATAGCCTTATTTATGTATATAATTATGTGCATATATGTGTATATATTATACCATTTTTAAAAAGCAAACATGTAAAAAAGATTACATTTTTTAAACAACGATAAAACAAAAACACAGTCAAAATGGCTGTTTTGTTTATTATTTTTCTCTAGATGCATTCTTGTTCATGTGAATACAATTCCCCTACAGCATTTCATTGAACACTGAGTATTCTGTTTGTATTTTTAAAGATGGAGTTGTGGTATAGGATTTGGGAGTTAGTTCCAAAATATAAATGTAAGTATTGTCATGTTTAGATTTGAAATATTTTCAAGAACTGACTTTTAGAACTTGAAGGTACATTAGTTTTCTTAAAGACTTTATTCACTAAAAGATAAATGACAGTCACAATCACCATGAACTAATTGGAACTGATTGAGGCAGAAAGAATACAGCAGAGTCCCTAATAATAAAATCTGTGTTTTCTAAATTGTCTAAATCAATGTTGGTCGCAAATTGGAACCAATTAATTTTATCTACCTTAAAAATAATTATTTCACTCATTTGTGCTTCCAGGTGTTATTTTTGTAAAAAAAATTTAATAATCACCAATGGAAAGCATTGTAGAATGTCATGGATAGAAGAAGCTCCCACTTCAGCACTTTAGTGACAAGAACCCATGAGAGTAATTTGTTTTAAAATTAGTGCCTTGTAAATCATTATTAAACTGGAACCTCTCTCCTGCATGATATTCATCACCATGGAACTTACTATTATTTTTATTTTTCCCTAATTGCTACAAAAATATGAGCCTAATTGGGCATATAAACGTAGTGGTTAAGTTAACCTTGTATGTTACTTACGTGTCTTCCCTCTGTTTCTCAGCAAGGGAAATGGAAAATTGATGAGGTCTTTGTATTCTTACTTTAATTTGTTTTAGGAAAGGCTATGAATAAGAGCAATAAATATATAAATAACTGAATCCAGGATCTACCTTTTTTCATTTGATCTTCATCATAGCTCCAGGGAAAATCAGGCAAATGTTCAGACCTCATTGGTCATGGCAGAAAGTAAGGGTCCCCAGAGGCTGAATCCTTACTTGGAAAAGCTGGGTGGAACACGGAAAAGGTCTTCACCACTTTTACTATGTTTGTGTTCCTCACTGATAAAATGGGGATTCTGGCCACTGGGAAAATTATAAAAAGATTGCTTCCCATGCCCACTGTGACATTTCAACTGTTGTTTAACACTCAGGACTGTGTTACCTATTGAGTCTCTGGACTACTTCTAGGCTTCTGCACAGTCAGGGCTCTGCCCAGCTGTGTGGATATGTACCTCACTACATCCAAAGGATTCCTTTGGGACATTATGCCTGAGTCATACATGGCCCTGAGTGATAGGGAAAGAGGATTCTCTATTGCCTGCAGCAAGTCCTATTAGGGGCACTAATCCTAGACTATTCATCACATTCCAACTCAGGCCTGGTGTATGCTAGCAGAACAGGAAACATGTATATAGCTGCATTTACCAATGGCAAGAAGCATTTGCATCACAGAGAAGTGGAGTATTTTCATACATGTTAGCCTTATTCAAGCATAAGTCAATAAACATTGTTTAACAGTGATATGTAAAATAAAAATCAGAACAACTCAAGGCCACCTTAATACTTCAGTGGTCAAGTTTATTTCTTCCTTATTTTTTGCTTTTGAACTATGTTCTTACTCTTGTCTGAGCACCATTTTGTTAACTGAGCACTCCTTCTTTGTAGATTAAACTTTGTGCATGGCAAGAATGAAGTCTGAAAGACTATAATTGTTCTGATTTCTAAATCAAATAAAATCATCCGAAATGGAAGACACTTTTCAGCAGTTAACATTTTGTTAGATCCTTTCATGTATGTTATTTATTTCATCCACATAAAATTCTAAAAACATATCTTGTTGTTTCAATATTTTAAATATTGAAATAGAGAATTAAAAAGCTTAAGGCATTTTTCCATGTTTTCACCTGTCTATATCATTTTACTTCAATAAGGAAAATAATAGGGAATTTATGTTACTATGAAATATGATTTTTAAAAAAGACATACTTGTTTTTCTTAATACTTGATTGAAAAGATGGATAATTCCATTTCAAAATATTTTTTCTAGAAATTTATATTTACATTCATGTGCACATACCTTTCTTTATTGCAGGAAACAGAATCTCTTGATCAACTCCCCCTCTATTTTTCTCATGTTTGACAACACACTTGCGCTCTTTATCCATTGATTCTTCAGTCACAGTTATCCAGCTCATCTTCATGTAAGTGTCTTTAGTCTTCATGGTATCTCCCTGCTGGGATTCCAGAATCCTATCACCATACTTCTCTTTCCAAAATACCGTAATAACATCAGGGAAAAAGTTCTCGAGAAGACAAAGATGTGTCCCAGCCTTATGAAGTTTTATTTCAGTAACTGAAGGAAGAAAAATCGTGGGCTTCGGGGAAGTGTCTGCATCAAACCTTTTATCTGTGGAGGAATATCAATTTAAAAGAATAATTGGAGCAACACAAATATTGCTTGTTAGCACAAGCAAGTTTCCATTGAAATAGTGACCATCCTGGTCTTTCATCTCTCAGAGGTAGTAAAGTATTAATTATTGTCCTTACTTTACAGTTGTGTAAAGAAGTTAGGTAGCTTGTCAAAAGTCACAGCTATGAAATGTCAGAGCCTGGATGAAAACTTGATCTTTGTTCTCAACATACTGAGGAGGATGTGACTTCTAACTGTTCATGAACAAGGCTTTCTATGCTCATAACGCCACTTATTTTTTTTTTCTATCTCTTTGGTTTTCTGATAATGGAGCATTTTGTCAAGGTATAATTCAGAGGAGGGGAAGACAACCATGCCACTTTAGTGACCTCTGTAAATGAGGCTCTGTGGTCCCTTCCCCTTCTCAAGTGCTTCTCAAGTGCTTCCTTTGCCCATCTTTTGGCACTTCTGCTCTCTGAACAAGTATCTCATAGTCTCATGCTCTGTGATTCTGTGCAAGCCAGTTTTCATTTAGCTGACTCTTGAATGCATCCTACTTATCTTATTTCTCATATGAATAAGTGTCAGGAGGTAGGTTTACTTTTAAGTTTGTAATAATACACTGTCACTTGTTTCACTGGGCATGCATTTCTTGAATACTTACAGTATATCAGTTCATCTCTTATCTTCAAATGTAGTTCCCTTGCCAAGTTCTGAAGATTTTTCCTTTTCCAATTAATGTCTGATGTTTTACAACATCTCACATTCATATGTGACCTACTCCAGGCCTTTGTGTTGGGCAGTGTTTAACCCTGTACTTCCAAATTCCACAGTGTTTTGAATTTTGCCACAAAATGACATTTTAAAAACTCCTAGTAAATGTTTACATTGATTATATTGTAAAATTCTATTGTGCTGATCTCATCAATTAATGTGCTTATCAAAACGTTTGCTTTTGAAAATGTTTTCCAAAAACAGATTTTATTATTATAATTTTTTTTTGAAGTTCAAGCATCACTACCATATTTTCATACATGCTTTGATAGGAATTAACTGGTTTAAGGAGAGGATCTTTACATCTCATTACACCTAAATTTGATTCTTAGGTTCTGTCTAAAAGTTTGTATCAAACTTATATCTGATATTTGGGTTCTGGTCTTCCATTGTTCTCTTCCTCTTAATCTGCTGAATAATGGCATATATTATTGGTATTATATTAAAAGTAATGATTCAAGAGTGTCTCACAGATATAATATCAAAACGTACAAGAAAGCATACCTTGTTTAAAATGGCATGTCATTGTGTCTGGAATGTTAGCTGGTTTTAAGTTTATTTTTAATATAATGACTTATTGTAAATGATTAAATGATTCAAATTGATATCCACTTGAAATTCAAATACTTTGCCAATACTCCCCTTCATCTAGTTTGAAGTTAATATAGTATAATAATTCCAGAGGCAATTTTTTAGGAAAAGAAAAATTGAATTTCACTTTTGAGAAGAAAGGATCAAAAGTTCTTGATGATTTCTGACTGTATAGCAAAACTCCTTACTCTTAAACAAAATCAAGAATCATAAGATGTTTATATTCCTGGATGTGTTATAAATACAATTGGTTCTTCTTAGTATGCTTTTTAAATTTCACTCAGTTTGCTTTTAACACAAAGAGTAAGAGACTATATAATTATCCAACTGTCTACATTATTTGTGGTTTAAAATTCATGCTATAAAAGTTAAGACTAAATTTTCAATTATGGATTATATTTGTATAATTTTAGTCAAAGTCAATGGGTTAAGAACTCTAATTTTCATCTAAGAGACTTTTAGTTCTTCATGGGGAATCTTCTGATTCATTAAAATGAAGACATTGAACTCATATGATGATTGGAAAACGTTTATGGACAATTCCCCACCATTATTACCTCTTGCCTCTTTCCTTTATAATTTAAATTTCATGCTACAACAATAAAGTGAATCTTTAACTTCCATAACTTTCTCAATAATAGTTGACTAAGCAGTAAGTAGTGTACTTGATTATGTACAGTTAGTACCTATTGTCTGAATTCTTATGATAAGTGCTCTTTTAAAGCATTACTTTTAAATATCTGTATTAAGAGTATTTTCATGGCCAAACATTTTTTACTATACATAAAATGGCAGCCAACCTATTTTATTTGAATAATGAATAGAATGGCCATCACATTTTATTTAAAAATCAGTAAGCCTATCCAATTAATTTTGTGTGTTCATTTACCTAATAACATTGCTTAATTTGTATTTTAAAATGCAGTGATATGTATTTCATATAAGTTTATCAAATAACAATTTAATTTACTATTGAAACTATATGTGAAATGTTTCTTAACTATGGTCTATTTTTTCTTTTTTTCTTTCATCAACTAAGTTGTAATAGCTATTTCATATTTAATATACATTTTAGATTTGTGACAAGCTTCCCATGGTTTCATTGATTTTACATATAGAGCATTTTGTGTATCAATTTATATATATCAGAGTAATCTTACTGGCTAAAATTGTGGGAGAAATAAAAGTTGATATAAGATACATGTTCAGTGGAGATATATGATTAAAATTCAAACATGTATAGCATGATTTAAACAGGAATTCTTAAACACATTTTAGTGTTATTTTTATTAGTAAATGCTAAAATTTTTCTAAAAAAAAAAAAGAACAATTCCAGATTCATTTTTTTTTCCTGTGAGTGTTAAAGTAACCTTCCATTGCAGCAGTTAGGACTATACTTGAATCCTCTGAAGAATAGCAAATGTTATTGGATCAAAACATCTCTCCAAGTGGAGATGATACTCACTTTACATTTGAATTGGAAGAAAATTTACAGGGCACCTATTATGTGTTGGATAATGTGCCAAGAATTTTCTTCTCATTAACTCATTCAATTGTCACATAACCTTCTGGTTTCATACTGTCATCCCTTATTATGAATTAGGAAACTGATGCCAAAATGATTGCCAAACTTCACTGAACTCTGAGGGAAACAGAGATCCAGGTGGACCTCACTGCAATCCTCTGTCTCTTCCCCAAAGTTTTAACCACTAGAACAAGGAATGTGTCCAGTCCACTGAGTCTATCTCTGACTTATACGTAATAATAAAATTTGTCCCACTGTCAAACACTTAAATAATATCATTATATAACAGCATTTCATAGAAGTTCACATGTCAACAAAGACAAATCCTACTATAGTATTCATACAATGTTGGCTTCATATAAATTAACTGAGAATTTGTATTAAAATCTCTCCTAAGACAAGCACATTAAACTCCCCTCACTCTCTTTTCTCCCGACATGACATTCTTACTGTTATTCCAGTAGAATCATTTCATGTCTTCCCTCCATTAATTCAAAAGTGCTGTATTCTTCTGATACTCACCTGTGACAACAAGTTTGGTTCCAACACCGAAGACCTTTTCATAATATGACACAGTGATTCTACCCTTAGCAAAAAGTCAGATGAGTTTGGCTTTTGTGAGTTTTGCAAATTTTGGAGGCAACATGATGGTCTGGAATTCTTAAGAGACCAGGGTTCTGGTCCTGGTTAACTTGCTCATAACAGGATCTGTGACTGAGCAAATCAAATAAATTTAAAGAGTTTATTTATCTTAAAAATATGACAAGAGTGCCAATGGATTCAACATCACTATCAGTAGTCAGTGAGTGGAAATGCTTCCCTGTGTTGTATAAAACAATGGCTCTTTTCCCAATCATTAGTAGCAAGACACATGAATTCCAGCTTTCAACAGAACAATCAGTCTCAAAAGCTTTTTTGTTCAGCTCCTGCTAAATTACAGCTTCCAACTACCGGCTTGGCACTTCAAGGAAAAATGATCAGAGAAAGGGCAGAAGGCCTGGTCCTCAAAGCTATCTCAGGTCTCTATATGTTATCTGCATGACCCAATACACGGAGGCACAAGCAATCAGATCATTGACACAAATGTTAGTTTTGTGATAGAGATGACGACATGTTGAATTTAAACATGCTGAAAATACAGGAATATAAGAGGCTTTCTTTCCCCCAAATAACCAAATATGGGGATTGCCTTGTGATTAAACAGGTGTGTAAAGCAGGCAATAAAAGGGGTGTAACAGGCCCGTTAAGCAGGCAATACAAGGGCCTTATGGTGTATCCTTTGCACAACCTTTTACATGAAAAATTGTTCTTCCAGCCCTCTGATCAATAACCCAACATGGAGAAGATATCAGTCTAAAATTTATGTAGGTTAACGCTGTATTGGAAATACCACTGGTAAAACAAATAAAACAAAACAAAGAAATAAAATTAGAATCACTAATTATTATTTGGGAATGAGGTCTGTATAATTTATACTATTTTACACATTTATAGAATAATAGTAAATGGGAAAATGCCTTCATTTTGCTTTGTGAAAGAATAATATCCAGTGATATCACCATATGGGATAACCTAAAGACACTGAGATCTGAGATGACTCAGAACATTGTGGAGTGATTCATGTTTTCATTTGAAGCCTTGGGTGAAGCCTTGGGCTGGGGATGTGGCTCAAGCGGTAGCGCAATCGCCTGGCATGCGTGCGGCCTGGGTTCGATCCTCAGCACCACATACAAACAAAGATGTTGTGTCTACCGATAACTAAAAAATAAATATTAAAATTCTCTCTCTCTCTCTTTAAAAAAATATAGGGTGAAGCCTGGGCAAAATTCCTAATGGAAAGGTTATTTAAAAAAGCAATATTTCTCAACTGCTATTTGTGACAATATAATTTTTAATTTTGTAGGCCAATCAATTAAGAGAGTGAACATTATAAGCAGAAACAGATATTTACTATTTCCTTAATTTCAAAGGCAACCAATCATAGTAATCATACAGTTAAATCTTAATAAGCATATATTCAAAATAACTTCTTAGTATGTTGGGGTTCATATGTGCAGAAGGATAAACATCTGGCTTTGATTATGAACCTACTTCTTTTTCCTTGATAGGAGACTTCATGAGCGCTGCCAGAATGGAAATGAATAATGATGAGATGCTCTCTTTAACAGTTCCTTTTGAAAGGACTGCTGTTTTTTACTTCAAAAATATACACTGCAGCCTCCAGAGCATTGAAATTGCCCATCAGAGGGTCCTAACTGGTGGGTATTTCTGCACATTTTGCAACCTAAGTGTCAAGGCAGCTACACAAGTAAGAAATGTTATTCAGTAAAGCTGCTGTAGTTCTTTTACCGGCTTCAGTATTGCTGGCAAATTTGATAGCACCACATAAAGAAAATTGAGAGGAATGGGATTAAAATGACTTGTCATTCTGTAGAAGTGCACTAAGATTTATTTCTTGAGTATTTAGTAAATGCATATTCAGTATGACTTCCATGATATCTTCTGGGGAGAGAGGAGTAATCCAGTGCCATGATTAGAAGCAGAAACATTGTGCTCATCATGCATGAGTAATAATACAAATTGTGAGCTGCTATTGAGTAGTCAAATTGCCCATGTAAAGACAAGTTACAGAAGAAAAAGTTCAGAATATCACAACAGGCCTAATTTTGCAAAATCACATAATGGTCTAGATCAGGTGCTTTGGAGTGACAAGTCTCCACTGAATCTCAATCTTTGCCACATTTGCTGATCCTGTGACTAGGAAGTAAATGAACTTCTGTAATCCTCACTGTGAAAAAGAAATGAGAGTTTTCTTATAAGGAGTTGTTGAATGATGACAGAAGACAATGAAATGCTTTAGTGTGCTGTTTGGCCTACAAAAAATAAATTACCTAACATTATTATTATTTTTTGTAATGGGCTAGTTTGGGGTCATTTCATCAAATTCTTCTGCCAAATACAATACCACTTGTCCAATATGAATATCATTTATTCAGACTATTAAGAAATACAAGTGTTTCATTTCAGCTTAAATTATTTATGTTTCCAATATTTTAATTAGTATGCTTATGCTGTATATGGACATTATAAGCCATAAGTTCCACACAAATTAAGAAATGAAAAGAGTTCAACCCAGGATCTCCAGCCTCTCTGGAATTCAGAGGCAAAAAAACCACAGTGAGGCACAACCAAGGCAAAATCTAGCAACACACACCTATGGGCCAGGAAGCTATTAAGTGTTAAGCCTGTGTGTAATCTACCCTTTAATCTTCAGCATGCAATGACAAAACCATGTTCAATAAATGTATGGATAGAGAATGAATGAGCATATGGGAAAAGAAAACCTTGGATTGAAGTTATGTGTGGAACAAGCAAATTTCAGTAATCTGTGCCATCTATAGGCAATACAACAAGAATCACTGTCACATAGAAGTTGAATAATGGCCTTTCATCTAAAGAGCTAGAGGTAGATAAAGAGGGATTTACTAATGTTCTGTAGCAATGTACTATGAGAATTAATTTTTTGTACTATTGCTAGGGAAGAGTTCAAAATCAAAAATATTGATTTTGTTGGTTATCTGGATAATGGAATACTATGTCTGATTTCAAAATATAGAGAAGACAACTACTAAAAATCTGTTTGGAGGATTTTAATATGAAAGACCTACAATCAAAAGCTTCTTAAAGCAATAATTTATACCAGTGGTAACAAAAATGCTTCTTAATGTATTTTAATTTCTATCCTGAGGCTATCCTTTGTACGTATGTACTTTCTAAAAGAATAATATCAATACATTTCCTGACACTGTAGAGAAAAAAAAAAAAACATCTACAAAGTGATTTTGTTTCCATATCCAGCAGCCCAGTCCTGCAGACTGGTCCTTTGTGTTCTGAAGACAAGAATGAGGCAGAGACAGATAAGGTTGATTTTAAGTTTTTTTTTTTTTTTTTTTTTCCTAAAAAGTGTCTATTCATTTTACATTACTAGGATAAAAAGGAAAAGTTACTTACCAAGAGGTGTTGCATTACTAGGATAAAAAGGAAAAGTTACTTACCAAGAGGTGTTGCTATGAATTTATTCCCTCCTGCATATATCCTGATACAGGTTCCACTACAACATTGGCCAATTTGTCTTCAAAAAAATCTCAGCTTCTTCCCAAGATTCGTGGCCCAACCACCAGTTTAGCAACCTTGCCTTGGCATGTTGATCTTCTGTCTTTCTTTGGAAGTCCTTGAATATAGATTTTTTGTGTGTGTGTCACATGATTATTTTGTATGTCTTCTCATAACTTGATCTTATAAACACTTTTCCATTCAGGTAAAATTGCTAGAAAGTGACAAAGGAAAATGGAAAATGTTGGAGAAGGAAAAGAAGAAAGCTGGCCCCCTACAGGTCAAGAAACCACCTTTCTGTAATCTCAGTGGCTTTGGAAGTTGAGGCAAGTGTGTGTTGCTAGACTGCATTTTCAAAGCCAGCCTTAGCAACTTAGCAAGGCCCCAAGAAAGTTAGTGAGACCCTGTCTCTAAATAAAAGATAAAAAGAGCTGGGGATGTGGCTCAGTGGTTAAGTGCCCCTGGGCTCAATAAAAAAAAATAAATAAAAAATAAGAAACCACTTTTTTAAAGTAACAGGAAAAGTGTTCTGAGAATTAAGTTGAATTAAGTCTTTTTTTTTCTTTTTCTTTTTGATTTACAGGTGTTCAGTTGTGTTAAAAGTAGTCAGAGTGCATCAAAGGAACACATCTTTTATTCTCAAAGATACCAAGGCTTCTCAGTTAGCAATTTGGGAATACATTTCTGAAAGGAGGAAGCTGTTTAGTAACCGAAAATGCAAATATGCCAACACATTTGAGAGCTGTGATCCCTATTCTCCATTTTCAAAAAAGGGCACATTTATCATTTGGCATCATGTCTATTTTCTTTCTTTCTTTTTTTTCAAGAACAAATAAAATTAAATTATGGACCTGCTGACCAACACTGGATCCAGGCCCAGGCCTAGGACTGCCTCTGCTGACCTGTGCAGGAGGAGCCCAGGTCCAGGTTAGGCCCTCATCCCCCACCACCCCGGTTGACCAGTACATTCACTCCAGAGCTCAGATCCTAGCTCAGCACTGTCCCAGCCGGCCAGCAGACCTACTCAGGAGTCCAGGCCCAGGGTAGGCCTTGGTCCATCCTCTAGGCCCCACCTGGAGGCCCAGGCCTAATCTACCTCCATCTTGGGATACTGCAACCATTGCCATAACTCTCCCCATGCAGCACCCTTCACCTTCTGAAAATTTGAATTAGTATGCCTATGCTGTATATGGACATTATAAGAAGCAGCTGCATCTTGGAACAGGCATTCCAAAGCCACTGTAAGGCCCACCATTTCAGCCCCATCTCTGAAAGAGCTGCATCCATTATGGGACACCTCCATTGCTATCTCGAGTTACCTCCAGTATTGCTGTCACCACCTTTATTTGCAGTAACATCCATCACAGGACACCATTAGTGTCTGGAAGCCCAACACCAAGGTGAGGTTCAGATAATCTGCATAGATATTAAAATATTATAGGGTGGAAACTGTAATATCTCAGATCCACAATGCAAGAAAGGAAGGTACAAAGACAACATGAAAAAAACAAGGGAAGAAAGGGCCACAAACAAACTAGGATACTACCATAACAGAATCTATGCACAGCACAATTGATGAAATGTCAGAGAAAGAGGTCAGAATATACATAATTAAAATGATCTGTGAATTAAAGGATGACATAAATGAGCAAATACAGGCAAAAATGATCACTTGAAAAAAAAGATAAGAGAGAAAATACAGGTGACTATTGATCACACCAACAAAGAGATAAGGGAGCAAATAAAGGTAGCAAAAGTTTACTTCAAGAAAGAGATAGATATTCTGAAAAAAAATCAGGAATCCTTGAAATGAAGGAAACAATAAACCAAATAAAAAACTCAGCAGAAAACATCACCAACAGACTAGATCACTTGGAAGAAATAATGTCAGATAATGAAGACAAAGTATACAACATGGAAAATAAATTTGACCACACAGTGAAGATGGTAAAAAATCACAAACAGAACATCCTAGAATCATGGGATATCATCAAAAGACCAAATCTAAGAGTTATTGGGATAGAGGAAGGCACAGAGTATCAAACCAAAGGAATGCACAATCTCTTCAATGAGATAATATCAGAAAATCTCCCAAGCATGAAGAACAAATTGGAAAACCAAATAAAAGAGGCTTACAAGATACCAAATCTACAAAATTACAACAGATCTACACCAAGTCACATTATAATGAAAATGCCTAGCATACAGAATAAGGATAGAATCTTAAAAGCCACAAGAGAGAGGAATATAGAGGGAGACCAATTCGTATCTCAGATTTTACAACCCAAACCCTCAAAGTCAGGAGATCATGGAACAACATGTACCAAGCTCTGAAAGGAAATGGATACTAACCAAGAATCTAATATCCAGAAAAACTAAGCTTTATATTTGATGATGAAATAAAAATCTTCCAGGATAAACAAAAGTTAAAAGAATTTACAGTGAGAAAGCCTGCACTACAGAGTATCTTCAGCAAAATATTCCAGGAGGAGGAAATGAAAAACTACAATGAAAATCAGCAAAAGGCGGAACTACACTAAAGGAAAGACCAGTCAAAGGAGCAACCACATCAAGTTAAAAACCAAAAATAAACCAAAATATCCAGGAATACAAATCATACTTCAATAATAAATCTGAATGTGAGTGGCCTAAATTCATCAATTGAAAGACATAGATTCATAGACTTGGATTTAAAAAAAAGACCCAACAATATTCTGCCTTCAAGAGACTTATAGGAAGAAACTTCCACCAACTGAAGGTGAAAGGGTGGGAAAAATCATACAACTCACATGGACCATGTAAACAAGCTGGGGTTTCCATCCTCATATTACATAAAGTGGACTTCAAACCAAAGCTAGTGAAAAGTGGTAAAGAAGGACATTTTATACTGCTAAAGTGATTCATACATCAACAAGACATAACAATCGAAAATATCTATACCCCAAACAATGGGGCATCTATGTATATCAAACAAACCCTTCTCAAATACAAGGCCCAAATAGACCACAACACAATAATACTGGGTGACTTTAACACACCTCTCCCAACACTGAATAGATTTTCCAAACAAAAACTAAACAAAGAAACTAAAAAACTCAATAGTAAATCAATAATTTGGACTTAACAAATACATATAGAATATTCCATCTATCAGCGAGCAAATACATTTTTTTCTCAGCAGCACATGGATCCTTCTCCAAAACAGATCTAATGTTAAGGCACAAAGCAATTCTTAGGAAATACAAAAAAAAATACAGATACTATTCTCTATTCTATCTGAACATAATGGAATGAAATTAGAGATCAATGACACAATTAAAAAGAGAAGCTACTCCAATACTTGGAGACTAAACAATACACTAATGAATGATGCATAAATAACAAAAGACATCTGGGAGGAGATAAAAAAATCTTATATGTAAATGAGAATTCTGATACAATTTATCAAAATCTCTGGGAGGCTATAAAGGCAGTGCTAAGAGGAAAGCTCATTGCATTAAGCTCATTCATCAAAACAAAAAAAAGTGAACAAATAAATGACATAACATTACATCTCAAAGCCCTAGAAAAAGAACAAACCAACATCAAAAGTAGAAGAAGACAGGAAATAATTAAAGTCAGAGTGGAAATCAATGAAATTGAAACTAAAGAAACAATTTAAAAAATTGACAAAACGATAAGATGGTTCTTTGAAAAAATATGTAAAATTGACAAACCCTTAGCCACCCTAATGCAAAAGGAGGGAGAAAATTCAAATTATACTAAAATTTGCTATGAAAAAGGAAATATCACTACAGATATTCTTTTAATACTGAAGACAATTGGAAACCATTTTGAAAATTTATACTCCAGTAAAATAGAAAACCTCGAACACATCAACAAACTTCCAATCAACCAAACTTGAGTCAAGAGGACATACATAATTTATTTTATTATTTTTTTAACATTCCACAATTTTTATTGCAACCTGGCCATTTTTGTGAGGGTGGGGAGTTTGATCTCAAAACAATGTTCCATTTAAGGCTCTTTTATACAGAAATTGCCATCATGACTGATATTCAAAATATCTTTAGTGCTGCAAGACTCACAGGGTAAACATAAAACTCCTACACTTATTCAGTAGTGTACATTCAATGGAAAACAAAAAGGCATTAATAACAGCTATTTCTTTTAAGAAGATATGCAGGTAATCGGAATGAACACTCAGGTACTAGGATAAATTGATGACACAGTTAGTGAAACTTAATTGACATTCCTTTGGGGGAATTAAACTCATTTAAAAAAGTGCTTTTAATGCATAGTGTTATATTCGTGCTGCCATGTCACAAAAGAAGGCTTGCCAAGGCAGGTGAGGTGTAGAGCTCCAGGGCCTCACAGAACTACAATCAAGTGCAACTATAAATAATACTGAAAAAAGTTCACCATCTGACCAGTGGGTAATACTTTCAAGGCATTCAATCTGCTTACCCTTTGCAGTATTCTAGACTATTCACATTGACAATCACATTCATTGTAGTGCTTGCTGCAAAGGAGGCATATAATCAGTTGTTTTGGCTAAAATAAAGACAGGAAGACATTCCTTCTACATAAAAGTAACCATTTTGAAGAGTCTAATGTCAATCACTGACAGGCTGCTTAAATGAATGATATCTCCTTCATTCACTGTATTGGAAGGGCCCAGAGGAAAGGGAAAAAAAAAAAAACAAAAATGAAAAAACACCTAATGCTATTCCAATGGACTGAGATGGAGAAATGAAATCCCCTTAAGATCCAGATGGCACTTGATGGTCATTTGATAATGGTTTTCCTTCAAGTGAAACTACTACATTGCCTCCCAATTTCTCTCCAAGTGTTGATCCAACTGCAAATGGGTGCAACCAATCTAGAAAGCAGTATGGAGATCCCTTAGAAAACTTGGAATGGAACCACCATTTGACCCAGCTATCCCACTCCTCAGTTATACCAAAAGACTTAAAATCAGCATAGTATAGTAAAGCAGCCACATCAATGTTTATAACAGCTCAATTCACAATAGTTAAACAGTGGAAGTAACCTAGATGCCCTTCAATAGATGAATAGATAAAGAAACTGTGGTATATATACACATGGAATTTTATGCAGCATTAAAAGAGATTAAAATCATGGCATTTGCAGATAAATGGATGGAATTGGAGAATATCATGCTAAGTGAAATAAGCCAATTTCAAAAAACAAAAGGCCTAATGTCCTCTCTGATAAGTGAATGCTGATCTATAATGGGGGACCTGGATAAAATGGAGGAACTTTGGTCAAAGAGGAGGGAGGGATGGGGAGGAGGCATGGGGGCAGGAAAGATGGTGGAATGAGATGGACATCACTACCTTAGGAACATGTATGAGTGCACATATGGTGTGATGCTACATCGTGTACAACCAGAGAAATGAAAAGTTGTGCTGCAATTGTGTACAATGAATCAAAATGCATTCTGCTGTCATATATACCTAATTAAAAATAAATAAATAAATAAAATATAAATTCTGTGATGACTTATTATTTGTCCTGAATAAGAATAAAATTGTAGAATATTATCTCCCATAAAATTACAGATTCCTTTTAAAAACTAGAATGTAAAAAATAATTCCAGTTGTCTGATAAGTTGAAAGAAGAAGGCTCATGGAGGCATTTCTGTGATCCATGCCCACTCCAGGCCCACCCTGTCCTGGCTTAGGAATTATATGATTATGGTAGACAAGTATCCATTCATAGCATCTTATAGCCATAATGCTTTTGGAAAGAAAAAAGAGCACTGTCTGAAAATTATGTTTGAAAAGGTTTTTAAATCTTAGCATTTATTTCTTGGAAAGATTATATAAATGAGAATTCTAAGCTATTATGTCTTGGAATTTTATATTGTAACTTGCTTTTTTACCATATGTGACTAATGTCTATACTATCCTTTTTTGACACTGGATTTTCCTTATTATAGCACACGAAAAGTCTTATCAGGAGCCTTAAGAAATATCTGTATTTCAAGAGTCATGAATAATTTAAGTAATAAAATATAATGGAATAAGAAATGAATTATAACATCTCTTACAAAATTTATAAAAAATACAAGAACTGTGTAAAAAGCACAGTATAAAGTTACAACAAAGACCTATAATAAAATGAAGAAAAACCTACTTTGATAAATTGGCCAATATTATTTAAATTCATATGCAAATTTACTGCATTTCAAATAAGAATTACTACAATATTTCCTTTTGTTTTATTTTTTTTTATTCTGGGTGTTCTTATTTCCAAGGTGTGGCTGGTGAGATGTTA